GGGTATGGGAGGGGGTGACCCTGTAAAGGGTCTGGAGAAGGTGGTTGCAGGGAGGGATCCGTGATAAATAAATAGCTATTATCTGCTACAAGGCGCTGAAGTGCAGGACGCCACTTCACCCTAAAAGTTTGCAATATGCAGAAAAAAAACCCAGAATTTTTTTTCGCCAACGAAAGAGAGTTATGATCTTTAAAGAATCAAAGTGCCCCCCCCCACCCCACCCCCGCGCGCGCGCACACACACACACACACACAAAGAAGAAGAAGAAAAAAAGAAGAAAAACCTTCAAAGTCACTGTCCAGCCTGGAAACAAGAATCTTGTGCTCAGAAACTCTGAGGTTTAGATTTTCTCTTTTCCTTTTTATCTAAGTTCCTGTTTTCATTGGAGTTGGGTTCTGAAAGGAATTAACAGTTTGCCACGCTGAAGCTGCCTTTTGTGATACTGATTTTAAGCTGTTTGTTAAGAAACAAAACACTCAGAAAGAGCCTTTGATTCTTCCCCCTTTCCTGCCCAAGAGAGTCAGAGAAGCCTGCTTTAGGAAGGGAGCCTTGGCTTAACCATCACTTTAAAAATCTGTTAATTTGATTGTTAGCCCAGCTAGAAGATGCGGGCTGTATCTAATAAGATGATAAGAGTTAAGAAAGCTGTCTTTAATTTAAAATTGTGTGGTCAGGAAAGGCGAAGAGATTTGTTAAAGATACACTGAGGCATATTTAAAAAATGTAAAGGTTTATTTGAGCAAAAATCTATTCAAATCAGCCAGTATCTCATCTAGCATATAGAAAAGAGCTCTAAAGACCTACACAAAAATGAATGACTTTCATGGACAGAAAGGATGGGAAAAGGGAAATTACCCTCAGCCCCAAAGTGGATTGGTTATTAAAAACTGGCTTTCCTTTAGGGGGTGACAGGGTCCTATCAGGCAGATTACCTAGTTGTTGATTCCTGATTGACTGTTTAAAATCCTATTTCTGGGAAAGCCAAGGATATATTTAAATCTTAATTTGGTGGCATGGGGTTTAGCACGAGCAACTCCATTTTGGGCCTGTTGTCTTGTTTGCAACAGATTAAAGAATTTGAAGTTATGGAACTTTCAGAGAGTTTTAAAGTTTGCATGCATACCACTTCTCTAAAAGGTGATTAAAATTTTTACTATTAACTTTTTTCTTACTATTAATTTTTTCTCAAAGATTAGTACATGCGTATGATGAAAAAAATGTAAGTAGCGTAAGAAGAATCACAGTGAAAAATTAACCTTCTTCCCACAACTGATCCCCAGGGTACAAGTTTGTCTCTCCAAAGGTAACTTGCAATTTCCTAGAGTGTTATCCTCAGATTAATCTACAGATATGCACATACATATCTCTTTTTCTTTATTGCATGTCTTTTTATATAAATAGGTGCCTACTATATATACTGTAGTGTACTTTGCTTAAAATATGATCTTTACATAGCTATTTTTATTCAGTTCAGGAAGGGAAAATGAATACCCAAGCATGCATGTTAATTGCACACACTTCCATGTTGATGTTTAAACCACAGTTTTTCCATCCAAACTTTGCTGATTTCTGCTGAAGCTGCAGAGGGCACTGTCATCCCTCCAGAAGCATGGCAAAGCCTTGAATAGTGTTTTGCAGTGTTTGAATGCCGTGCCAATTATAGGATTCTGAGCAGCTCCTGGTATTAGTATACATCAATTCAAATCACTCACTTGTGCTCACTTCTTATATATGTATTTTATATAAAATGAATTGCCATATGTGTTTACATTATGTCATCATCCTCAACAGGGATAATTTTTGTGTAATAGGTACAACGTTTAATTTTGAAAGCACAAATCTTAACTTTAATTTTGTAGCCATCTCTGCAATGATCACAGACATACTATCCTTTTCTTTTTAATTATGATTACACAAGATTTGTGTGGCATCATGGAAACTGTACTGACCTAGGTCATCCAACTCCACAATTTCTGAACTATATGCCACACTAGGAAATCATTTATTTCTGTGATTCAGTATTTTCTCATCCACAAAATGAGGAGATTGGATGAGAGTATTTTTAAGGCTCCTTTTAGCTTCAATAAGTTTATGACATCTTCCTAAAAAAACAAACAAGCACACCTGTTAAAATTGAGTGTGGATGAGTGTTAAATAGAATATGAATGAGTGAAGGGGTGGGAAAAGCATTCTAAGTTACAGAGAAAGTCTAAGATAGTTACAGTGCTGCAGGGACTGATGACAGGCCACCCTAACTCATTCTCCTTTTTTCGGGCCAGAAAGCAAGACTACAATACCAGCCTGTCTTGCCGTTAGGCTGCTACTTCTAGGCCTAGATATAAAAACTGCATGGGTGCATTTTTCCTTGGTGATCAGTCTTTCCCCTTGCCTCACTGACTATTGCAAACTGCCTGAAGCCGGTCCATCCTTGCTGCTTGACACAGTCGCTGCAGGAAAGAAACATCTGCACAGCATATGTTTCAAGGGACCTGGCGTATATAAGAACCTAGCAATAGAACATGGCTACAGCACCTGGCTGGAGAACCTGGAGAACCTGGCTGGAGAACCTAGCAAGAGAACATGGACACAGAACTTGGCTGGAGATTGTGGCTAGAGATCCTGTCAAGGCTGCTGATCAACTGAACACTGTCTCTGTGTCATTCCTTCTTTGCCGACTCCGTCCACACCTTTGGGGAACCCCTGGACCTGCTGGGGTTGGACCCCGGCAGCAAACCTTGGCCATTCTCCTCAAGGCTGGGTCCATCTTTACTGAGAAACCAGGGCAATCTGGTAAGATGTCTCGCCACCCAGCTCTCCCAGTCTGCTAGCCTGCACTCCAACTGACCTATATCCCCACCTACTCTTTCCTCCTTTCATGCAGTTACTGAGAATGAGGTCTCTGGTCTAAGGTAGATCCTCCCATTTATGCCCTTGATTCCTTCCTCTCTAGCACCTTGCTCCAGCAATTATTCTCTATTTCAAACCCCCCCCCCCAAAAAAAAAACAAAAACTACAAAACAAGAGACAAATCACCACTACTCTAAAACAACAATCTAAAGTTGTCAAGTGAACATTCCGAAAAACAAAAACTACAAAACAAGAGACAAATAACCCACTACTCTAAAACAACAACAATCTAAAGTTGTCAAGTGAACATTCCGTATCACCCATCAAACTTCATCTTCCCTAAAGTGAGTTAAATATGTTTACTTCTATTTCACAGTTGAGCAAGCTAAGCTTAAAAGATTGAGTTCTTTGCCATTGAATTAGAAGCTGAATGCAGGCCCAATGCTTTTGTGTCACTACTACAGTTGTTTAAAAAGGTTTACTTCACATCTATTTGCATAATTAAACTTTTTCTGACACTCTTCATACTTTACTTTTTCTCTAAAAGGCTATGGCCACATAATAAATATTTTAGGCTTTGTAGCCATTGTAATGTGAAGGCAGCTATAGACAATTTATAAATGAATGGGCGTGGGGGTGTTCTAATACAATGTATATATAGACAATGAAACTTAAATTTAATTTTACATATCATAAAATATTCCTCTTTTGTTTTCTTTTCAATCATTCAAAAATGTAAAAGCCATTGTTGGTTCCTGGGACATACAAAAATGGGTGGTAGACTGGATTTGTTCTGTGGGCCTCAGTTTGCCACCCCCTATTTTAGGAGATCTATTTGTAGTATTGATATGAATTATAATTTATGTCCATCATTTTTGTATTTCTTTTTTCTTTAATAAATATATATTTTATTGATTTCAGAGAGGAAGAGAGAGGGAGAGAGAGATAGAAACGTCAGAGAGAGAGAATCATGAATTGGCTGCCTCCTGCATGCCCCCCACTGAGGACCAAGCCTGCAACCCCGGCATGTGCCCTTGGCTGGAATCGAACACAGGACCCTTTATTCTGCAGGCTGATGCTCTATCTACTGAGTCAAACCAGCTAGGGCAATTTTTGTATTTCTTTATAGACATGGGCAAGGAAGCAGCCAACCCTATACTGTGATGCTCTTTAAATGGTAAAATTTCCAGCTTATTTGACACATCACTAATTTCATGGCTCATAGGTTAAGCAAGAAAGTTCTCTGAAGACCAGTTTTGTTCTCTCTTATGTTTGCTTTCATTTCTTCCCTTTTCTATTTAATGAGAATAAACAAAATGTTCTGGGATAAGAACAAAAGTTTTTATCAAAATTTAACAGCTGTTGAGCCATCTGTTACTGTAAAAGAGTTTGATTAGCACCCTACAGCAATTAAGCCATTTTAGGTTGGAATGTACTAGGAAAAAGAGGAAATAGAAGGCATAGCTAACCAATGATGGGTATTGTTATTGACAACAGCCCACCTCATTTGGAAGAGTATGTAGATAACAAAAGAAGTAGACACTTGACAAATTATCTTCTTTAAAATTTTTATATTCATTTTGGTAAAAATATAAAAGGAAGTCATGTGAAAGGAACGAGCTGGGAAAATCAGTTGTGAATTTGTAAAAATAAAATTTGACGGTCTCAAATTTGTGATTCTCAATTTGTTTCCTGGGGCATGTGTGTTATAAAAGCCCCACAAACATGGTCCCGGATTTGGCTTGTTGAGTTTTGACTACATAGAGAATAGAAATGATTTTAGTGATGTCTGGCAGACTGGACCCACAGCCATGAGTGCAACAAGATGTAGTGAGAAGCGGAGCACAGCTTGCTGCAATGAACATATGAGAGGTGGCGTCTATCACCAAGTTGGTACCAAGGAAAAGCTCGTGTTTACTGGAATGAGTGAG